GGAGTTTTACGCGCAGACCCTTGGCGAGGCACAGCTGCCTTCGCTGGTGAATTCCAGCTCCCGGTGGACGGGGCATAAAAGCTCAGGCGCGAGCACTGGCCTCGCCAGCGTCCTCAGATTCTAAGTGCGGGCGTGGGGATGGCCCTGCAGAGAAGACAGACCAAGTTTGCCGCGAGGGCAGACGGGGTGGGACCCTCGGGTAGGACCCCGGGGTAGGATGCCAGCGCCGGTCACCAAGACCGCCCTCCGCGGCCACCGCGGAAGTTCCCGCCAGGGCCGGCGCCTGGCCTCCGGGTCCCAGCACTGCCCGGGCGTGGAGCTGGAGATAGACCCTCAGCTCCAGGTGGCTGAGTCCCCAGAAAGGGCGCCTTTGCGCCAGGGGCACTTGGCCGCTGTAGAGCCAGCGCGCCCAGGGCGCACAGGGGAGAGACCCCGCTGGGGCCGGGACCCCCAGGACCCAGCCAGCCTGCTACCCAGGCCTCGGGTTCGAAGCCTTTCCAGCGGCCCAGGAGAGGTTAGGATGTGAGCGACAGCAGTTTGGCCAAGAAAGGAGTTTCTGAAACTCCTGGGAAAGCGAAGTCCCCGGGCTTGAACCGAGGCTCCCCAGGTCTTTCCAATCTTAGTCTTTGCTCTCTGTCATGTTTCCTACCCCCTCCCCCCCAGCTTCAACCCTTGGCAAGAGTCCTAAGGGGTAGGGCTAGGGTACTAACCACCTCAATCCTTCTCCCCCCCCCCAACTTTCAGAGGAAAAAAACACAAATAAACCCGAGTGGCTAATGCGGGGGCATGCAGACCCCCCCATCTCAACACACGCCACCACCCACCGGCCCTCCCACCTCCGGGAGGGGAGGGATGGGAACCTGATCTCCAGGCTCCACCGGGAAGCTTCCCATCAATAACTCGGTTATCACCCAGGTGCCTCCGCCCCGCCCCCTGGGCGCCCCGTCGCTGCTCTTTGCCGGGCATCAGAAAACGAAACCTCCTCTCCTGCCCTCCTCCCGGGCTGGGCCCAGCGGGGCCTGGGTCTGGGGGCCGCGGAAGCCGAGGCTGGGGGGCTTGGGGGCGCGGGCAGAGCTCGTGAGGGCCTCCCAACCCGAGCCCGTGGAAGGAGGGCGCCCGGGGCCCAGGGCAGGCCTCACTCCAGGCTCCATCCCAGACCCTGGGGTCAGGCTGGGACAAAATAAGATGCTTTTGTGGGTGGGAGAACCAGGCCTCCAAAAGGGGACACTCAACCACCTCTCTCCTCTCCAGGGCCCGGGAGGCCAGAAGGCCCGGAAACCCCTTCGCTGGGGACTCAGTTGTGGCCTGCGGCCTTGGGGTACAGCCCTTCATCCTGCCAAGCTACCCAGGATGCCCTACGACTTGGGAAACCTGAGGGGACAGATTGGGTAGAAATGCAGGCATCAAGCCCCCCCCTTCCCCCACATGTGAGTTTGCACCCCTGGGAGCTGGTGAGGTTCTTGTTGGCCCAACAGAGGTCATGACCCTGGGCGGCCACTGCCTCCCTCGGGCACCCCCACGCCCCTAAGTGTCAGGCCTTCTGATCTGGGAACCGCAAGTCCAAACCCCGCCACCCCAACCTCCCCAGCAGCTGCTCCACCCAAAGCGGACACATGGGGGTCCCCTGCGGACCGCGCTCCTCTGTTGGGTGGGCAAGTCGCCAGCATGGACTCCAGCGGTGGCACCTCGCGGGCACTCGCAGCCCCGCTCAAAAGTACAAGCCAACCCCCACTCTGTCTCCGTCTTTATTAATTTAATTATTTCTGGGCCTCGCAGCACTCCAAGCCTCACCCGCGCCCTGACACTGCGGCGCCCGCGTCGGCGAACCATGGAACTTGGGCCCGAGACAATGGCCTGTAATTGATGCATTGCCATCGACAATAGAGACCAATTCTCCTCTCCCCGCCATGCTGACCACCCCCTCCTCCTCTCCCCCCTCCCCGCCCCCGGCTCCCCTCTCCTCTCTCCCGGCCACAGAGCGAAGGAAAACAAACAAGAAATTAGCGGGAGAAGCCGTGCACGGAGCCAGGCGCCCGCCTCTGCGCTGTGGAGGACGCGGAAGAACGAAAAAAGTTACGAAAGTTTGCATCACCCGACTCGGTCGGTCTCTGCGCGCCCACTTCCAATCAAACGTCACGCAGCTGATGTTGCGCGTGCATTCGTTCGGTTGTTTGTTTTGGGGGGAGGGAAAGACCCCCCTCCTTTCCTTAATCACACAGAGAGCAAGTCACCCGCACATGGGAAGCCATTCCCCGGAGCGTCCTGCTGCGCGCGCCGCGCCGCGCGTCCGGGACAGAAGGGTTTGCGGGCTCGTCGGCGCCGCTGGGTTCCTGGCAGCGCGCGGTGCCCTGAGGCCCGGGCTTGCAAGACGCCAAGATTGCTGGAGAGGGATGCGGGCGGCTCCGGAGGCGGGCTGGGTAGGAGAGACAGTGTGCAAGGGGCTGAGGACGCGTGGGAGCACCTGGAGCGCGCGGGCCGGTGCGTTCGGGACGACCACCGTTTGCAGGGAGGGTGGGCGGGCGCGGGGTTGACACCGGCTTCCGCGCACTCTCCCGGGGGTCTGGGGTAGGCGAGCCGGATCGCCGCCCAGGAGCGCAGAGATCCATCTTGGCTGAGGGGTCTCTTTAAATATTCAGTGAGAAATAATGGCATTTGAAGCACCACCTATGGAAACATTATTATCTTCATTCTTCAACATCAGCCCCGCTGAGAGCTTCGTTTGTCTTTTTATCAAAATCTATGGTAACCAACAGGACCTGGGGAGAAAGGGAGAGCAGGGCGGAGGGTGTGTGTGTGTGTGTGTGTGTGTTAGGGACCGAGCGAGGGCAGAAGAGGAAAAAACAAGAGGGACAAGAGAAAAAGGCGAGGAAAGGGCAAACAAGGAGAAAGAAGTTATAGTAAAAAAAAAGGGAGGGGGTGTCGGCAGGAGGAAAACAGAAACATTCACCATCACACAAAAGATTTAGACTAAAAAAAATAATAATAAACCAAAAAAAACTAAGACAAAACGAGTCGTTTGGGGGAGCGCGCTGAGGGTCCGGTGTCCCCGAAACCCCACTCGGAAGATTGGTGCCCACTTCGCACGAACCGACTGTGGCGCTAGCCAGACTCCAGGGCGCTCAAGAATTGGGGCGTCCTTATGAGCCCTCTCCTCTCCCGATCGCGAGATAGGGTAGGGATTGTGTATCTGCAACCCCCCCACCCCCCCGCCGCCGCCCCATCACTCAGCCGAAGTTTAGTTTGTCCTTCGGGCGCAGGACTGCGGGAGCCCTGGAGCGAGGAGACCCCGAGGCGCGAGGGGAAGAGCCGGGCTGAGCCGAGGACGGAGAGTCAGGTTCGCAGGCGCCCGAGCCCAGCGGAGGGAGTGCGGGGCCGGGGCTCCCGACTCGGGGCTCCGGGGCGCGGGCAGGGAGGCTGCCTCCCCGCCTGGGGAGATGGAGCTCGTTCGAAAAGTTTGGGTGCCGCGCCCGGCAAGCGCCCGAGGCGCAGGCGAGCTTCCTCGGGGCCAGACAGCTGCGGACAGGGACCCTCCCCCGCCTCACTCACTCCCGACTCCGCGCGGCCACCTCGTCGCCAGGAGCCTGGGGTGCGGCCCCCTCCCCCCGGGCGAAGAGCCCAGGGGTCCTGGGGACCGGTCTGGCCCTGGACCCGGCCAGGCTGGGCCGCGCCTCCCTCGGCCGGGGCGGGTAGCCGCGTGCAGGGTAAGCGGCGGCCCCTCCCCTCCCCCCCGGCTGGAGCTGAACTCGGATCCCAGGCCGGTCCCAGCTCTCCGCCCGCCCCGGGCTCGGCGGCGCCACCGCCGCCGCCGCCTCCCCGCGGAGTGACGCGCCCTGTAGCCAACCGGGGCAGGCGGGGGGGGGGAAGGTCGGGAGGGTTCCTGGGCGGAGCCGGGCCGCCCCTTATCCCACGGGCTCGGGGCTGCTGCTCCCGAAAACTTCAGCCCTAATTGTCCTGGGAATGTCCGAGGTAGAGAAGGGGACCGAGGGAGCAAGCCAGAGGCTGGAGGATCGGGGCCCTCGGAGGAGAATCGGGGTGCCGGGAGAGCTGCCCCTCCCCCCAGCCCCCAAACCCATCACGTTCCCAAACCTTTCCTGGGTCCTCTTCTGCGCACCCCCGCGAGCCCGGGATCCAGGGGCTGGAGAACTCGGGGCGAAGGAGCGCTGAGCGAGGCGGCGAGCGGGCGGGAGGCTGGGCCGCGGGCGGGAGGCGGACCGGCGTGGGGCTGGCTCTTCCCCACTCGCTTATTTTTTTTTTATGGGTGTGGGGGTGGGCTGCTTGCTGGTAGCTCTTAAAGAAACGAAGAAACGCTCACGAAACGGGACTTCCTCCCCCCACCCATCCCGCCACGGGACTCCCTCCCCCCGCGAGCCGGCACGCCTAGCGCCGGAGTTGGGAAGTTCGCGCGCCCGCAGCCGGGTCCCCAGCCCCCGCCGCCCGGCCCCACCCCCGCCCGGGAGGCTTCATTCCGGGGAGGGCATGCTAATTTGGGTCGGCCCAAACCGGGGATGGGGGGGGGGGCGGGGAGGGGCGG